TATATATATATTTGAGATAATTATACAGAGGACGCCATAAATATTGTTATTTACAAATCAATCACCCTCTTAATATTTTTGAACTATGAAATTGTATTTGCGCGTGTCACGATCAAGCCATTGTGAATTTGATAAAATGAAAAAATATGAGTTGGTGTTTTATCATGACCTTTGATATTTGAGTGAGAATTTGAAAAATGTATGAAAGAGGTTGCCTAATTTGTAAATAGCAATGTTTTGGGTGTTCTTTTAATGTTAAAGAGCTAGCATAAATGCATTTTGAGGAGACAGAGTTGGAAGTTGTTTTAACTTGTTTTTAGTTAAATTTTCGCTCAAGTGAGCTCGAAAGAGATTAGCAAACCTTTGTTTAGCTTTAGGTGGGTCGATCAATGCGGACTCATAAGGTTGTAATTGGCTCAATAAGCGATTCCTAAATTGAGCTTGATGAGCTTGTTAGCTCATGAAGCGACTTCTTTAAGAAATAATAATCAAGAAAAATACACTTACAATGTGATAAATTTCAAATACTTTTCCTTAAATTACTAAAGATTTTAATTTACATATTATATCTTCTCATTAGATAATTGTTAGTCCCTACCATGATAAATTTAGAAATACAAATAAACATCCATAGTTTAGAGTGTACGTCAAGTATTGCACTCAAAATATTCCGCTAAATCATATTAAATCTTATTTGTCATCATAAACACGTTTTTGGTCACATTTGTAATTATCTTTTAAGTTCATCAAATGAATTATTTTTTATCTTTCATCATAGTGCAATCCTCTATACAAATTATCTTTTAAGTTCTCCTTAGTGTACATGACATTTCAAATTTCATATTATAATAAATGCAAATTGAAATTAACATAAGCCTATTTAACAATAATAATAATAATAATCCCCTTTTTTCTTAATTTTACATTAGTCTAATCTATATCAGTGAGTCACCACTAATGCAATCTTTCATCTAATGATGTGTATTTAAGCTAACAACCAAGCATTAATTATGATGAATAATTAATTGTCAAATCTCCACTAATTGAAGAGAAAAGAGCTAAGAAAATAAATGACTTTTTTTTTTTTGTAGGGTTTCTTTTATATAAAAGCTTAACTATATTATATATTCAACAAATTCCATTATACTTCCTCTTTAGTATGATAACTATGTCTTGAGTTCCACCAAATCTTTTGCAAATACCCTCATGAAATGCTTGCATCTCCATTTTAACTATTTTTTTTCATTATCTAATAATCATGATAGTACCAGAAAAAAAAAATGTGTAACAAAATAGATTTTTTATGTAAGATATTTCACTAAAAGTGATAAAAAAAATACTTACTAAAAATTATTGGTCTTAGTAAAATTCATGTGAAATACTGATGAATTTTTTCATATTGTAATTTTATTAATTTGAAATTGTTAAAATTAAAAGAGAATTTTGTTTAAAGTTCTTATAAAAGAAACTAATTTCTACGGTTAATTGCACTCTCAATAATAATCAATACTTATGTTTTGATTTAGTTTGGACATGTAAAAAAAGGTATCCCTAATAAAAATTTAAGTAGAGTGAATGAGTTGAAATGGGCTATAAACTAATAATAAGAAATTCAAGAACATATAGGTTTGATCTAGTTAATATTCATAGATTTATCATTCTAAATAATCAAGTTTTAACTATATTTTGTCATGAAAATAATCTATCAATCCCTCCTATGGATTTTTAATAAAAAAATCATAAATTGTATCGTTGAAAGGAACCATATAATCTAAAATCTTAAAACGATATAGATTCCTACATAGATGTGTTGTCTAATAAATTTAGAACGAGTATTGTGTTTATAGTCCTTATAATATTAGGAGATGCCTTTTGAAAGAGATGATAGGTCAATTTACTATACAATATCATGATTTGTGAATTTTCTAGTCTCACCTTTTTAAAAGTCTTAAGAAGCTAAATACGTAACATATATTTTAAATAAACATAAAGGGAGTGATTGTTCATTAAAAACATTCTTAAAATGTTGTAATTTTAATTTTAAGAAAACTCTTCAAGGGTTAATTTTAATATTGATTAATATATTAATTTAAATTATATAAATTTATTTTTTTCATTATTGTATTGAGAGCATGATATTAAGGAAATCATAATAATTTAAAAATGAGAAAATAAGTAACTTGTAATCCAATATTTAAAAAATTATTTCAAAGTATCATAAATCAGAATTGTCAGGTGAGGGAGATCTGGAATCAAATACAAAACCAATTAAAATTTAAAAATTAGGTAAATAAATAATATATAAAATTAAATTTAATTCTAATTTTTATAAACAAATTTAAAGTGACAAACAATAAAGTATAAGTAATAAACATTTTCCTCTCATAATCTTCATTGATTAGATCATTTAAATTTAAAAGAACTCTTGTATTTGAAAACATACTTGTAGGCTTCTATGCTTCTATCTCACCTCATTTACAAAGCCTTCTTTAACCAAAATATAGATTTAAAGAAGCAAATTTGTAAAGGGCCATAAAATACTAGGTATAGATTACTTCTAACCAATCAAGTGGTTAAAGAACTAATAAAAATTGAAATATTATTAGCAATATTATGCAAAGAAGTTTATAGTGCCAAACAAATTTGGTATTTCACGAAGTTTCTTTATTTCTTGGTTGAAGCATCAAAAGTTTATCCTTAGTATATGTCTCACTCCCGATGCTCTGCTTCTTAGGTGCTAGGCAATGAATTGTGCTCTTATGTGAGAATATGGTTATTGGGTAGCTTTGATAGTTTGGCTTGCATCCGTGTATTGCAACCCATTAGAATAACACAATGTGTCTTCTCTTAGGCCCCATGCTAATGCGGCATGGGCGACTACTAAATTTAGATCTCTTACCTTGAGCATCTCCTTATAGAAGAGAGTCATAAAACTCTATTGATTCTCCGAACTCTTCTTGAATATATAATAAAGCTTGCAAAATCTTCTGTGACTTTTTGGCACTAGCAAATTGTGCAATGAGCATATGCTTACTTGGCGAATGAGGCGATTGCCCCGAATGAAAGGTTGTTGAATCAAAGGATGCAGACTTTTTAAGGGTCATGAAGAGTAGACAATATTTAAGCACAAGAAGAATTCAAACTAGATATATTGTTGACTTAATTGATGATAGATGAGCATATGATCAGATCTACCTTTGTAGCATTCCAGAGCTAGGATTTTGAAATTTTTGATGAACATATGAACAACGATGTCAAAAATGTCTGATCGGTCCAAGTCATGAAAACCAACTAACAACGTCGCCAAGAATGTCTGATCGGTAGAAGCCATTAAAAATACCGACAACGATGTCAAGAACGTCATATCGGTATCGACAATGACGACAGGATCATCCACTTGAACTTTTACTGACATAGTTTTTAAAAAAAAAAAAAAAAATTGAAAAACAAGCTTGATTATATTCTCCAAAGAACTGAACATTAGCTGAGGATTATTTTTTCAAAAGTTATTTACTAAAAAAGACAACAAGAAGATTGTTAAATTTTTTTTTAAAGACTTGTGAAATGATTCTTTCAAGACTAATGGGTTTTCCATTTTTATAGTAGCTTCGCCTTCAAGGATTGAAAAACTCAAGCCTTGTTGAGAATTTAGGGCAAAGAAAACGTAAGAATAGTCAAAATAAAGAAGAAAATATAGAGATTTAACAAGATTCTATAATTTGCCTACATCATCGGAAGCAGAGCGGCGATCTCCTTTTGATTTCACGAAAAAAAATACAAATCCTCTTTAGGGTTACAATACAACATATATATATATATATAACCCTAGAGTATAATATGTAATTACAATATAATCCTGGTGTATATAATTACAAAATTATAACTATACCGTACCATGGGGGGCATTGCCCCCGCACCCCAACTCACTTAACAAAACTCCGCTGATTGAACAAATACTTTTGCTCCACTATGCTCGCAAGCTCCGTTGGCTGGCTCCGTTACGCTCCAGCATCTGTCCATTTTCTGGTATATAAGCCATACCTAACAGGGTTCCATGAATAGCCCAAAAATATGACCTTGTCGAGCCGGAAGGATCGCCGTTGAAGACATACCACCAACCACCTTCCCCTTCAACTAGCCATCCACTGGTCACCCGCCTTGTGGTTCCGATCAGCTATTATAACCGAAGACCTCATAAAAAACAAAATAAAATAAAAAAGAGGAATTTACACACATAGCACCCAAAAATGTTTTCTCCACATAAATCTCGCTGGCCAAACTTTGGTCGACCAGCTCGTCTGCTTGCCGGCAACCTCCTCCTCTGGCCATCTGGCGAACTCCTAAAACAGTAAGATTACAAAAATAGCACCTTGCCAGCCGGCTACCTATCCCGCCCGGCCGACCGTTCGCCTCGCTTCTCTGGTCGGCCCAATTGAACCGGATACCACTCAATTGTTATATATACAGCTAAAAGATAAGTATTTATAAGCATACCCCCATCTTTACATATCTAAGACTTAAACTGTGATATTTTATTCGCCATTTGTCCACTAGGCGGGCCACTCGACTCAGACGAATCCAGCAAAAAGAAAGAACATAGAAGGACCGGTTCGAGCAGGAGAAATTCCAAATTACCCCCTCTCGACCTCCTTTATAACAAAGACGTATTGTACTTTCCTTTCCTCCTCTTATTTTCTCTATAAATAGAGGTCCCCTTTGGCATGTAAGAGGTCCTTAGAGGCTTTCTCTCTCTTTGCCCTCGTGTAACAAGCTTGCTCCCATTCTACCTCAATTGTAACTCAAGTTCGTGTGAAATAGATGGGCCGACGAGCCCGGAGACAACCCCAATTTGCCTCCCGACAGACCAACCCTCGCTCTCTTTCTTCTCCATCAGAATCCGGCTCTATCTCTTCAGCAAGACCAAAAGGTCAGATTTGGATCTAATATACGTACATAATATTTATATGACCTCAACCCAAAATTCAACTTATAAATCAATGCAATAACATCACTTAAAAATAAATTTTTTTCATGATTAAGACATTTTATTTATTTTATCCCTTATCTATTATTTTATGTAAATATACAAAATGTATGGTGGCAAATGGCAATCCTATTAAGGCCACGTCTCGTCTCCACAGTAGTAGTCTTCGCTAAATTGGTTTCAGGCCCGCGCGGCAGTTAATTGTTATATCCAGCTCTTCCCTCTCGATTCTCTTTCTTTCCTCAGCTCTCACATAACGTTTTTTTTAGTCAGAGAAGGCAGTTTCTAGGGTTTTTATTGTTGCTTTTCTTGCCCTAGATTGTGTTTTACGGGGCGGAGTTTCTTCTTCTTGGGATTATTTTACTTTTCAATTCACAGCTCAGTTTGACCGTCAGCCGTTTCATTGAAGGAAGATGTCTGGGTCGTTTGATCGCTTCGCAAGGCCATGTCGGTTACTTCTTCTCTTCATATACCTTTTTCTTGTTTAGGAGAAGCTTTGGGTCTTTCTTTGAGTTGGAAACGAGCATTTTACTCTGTATTTTGTCTGCTCTGTAATTATGGGGAAGATTTGATTTGACCTGTTATTGGAAATTTGATGTTCTATTTCGAAGTGATTTTTATGGCTTATTTTGATGATTTTTGTCTTTTTTTTTATCATTTCTATTTGGTCTGATTATAGTTGGAATTTGGAGAGGAATCCGAATAAATGTTTTCTGGTTATGAGGCTATTGCGTGTTGATTTTTTTGGCACCTCATGTTTGGAATTTTACTGCTACGCACTTTAATTATGATTTACTTTTCAGCATTTGGCAGCTTGTATGAGCTGGCGTTCTAGATGATTTTAATGCTTTGTTCTTTTGCATTAATTAACTTCTTTGTCAAATTAGTTCACAGGTCTATTTTGATTATTTATGACGTTTTTTTTTTTAAAATGTATGGCTATTTGCAAGAAAAAAACTTCTGGAAATTAGTTTGCTTTTCTTGGACTTAGAATAACTTGATAGTATGGCGAGTTAAACCTTGCTTTTTTTAAGTGAAAGATGAATTATATGGTTTCTAGTGTTAGTAAATGTTATTGCAGAAGGCATTTAGGAATATATAAAAGCCTGCTTCATCTTAATAGAAGTATATGACTTCTGGTATGTAGAAGGGGATACAGAGCTTCGATTTCATGAGGTTTCTGTTTTCAAAACATCTTAAAGGAAGCTGAATTCTAACATCGAGAACTTTTTTAGAGCAACGGTTGAAATTTCCCTGGAACTCCGAAGTTATGCATGCTCGTGCAAGTGCACTTCTGAATGGGCAACCTTTATGAGGTTACACCACAAGCACAAAATTGTGAGACCATTAGGTTAAATATGACAATATCTCAATGGTGAGAGTACAGGTTGTTACAAATGGTAGCTAAGTAATACACCAGCAAGAATATAAGAACTTAGTTTCATGTAGTCAAAAAACTATATCAAGGGTGTCACCTCTTGAACCCATCATCAGGACAAAGTGCTATATGATTGGACTTATCCCTTTAATCTCTAAAATCCTATTTGGTATGTGATTCTAGGTTTTATTGTTAGGATACTAAGGAGGACATTTGTTACTTATGTATGAGAGACTGTGAAATATTTCAAGTAGAATTAAGCTAAACTCGTAAACATTGAGATGCATTTTAGTGTAATGGTTAAATTTTTTAAAGCACAATAAAGTTAAGTATGCTTGTTTGCTAGCACATTTGAGATAGGTGATTCTCTAGAAAGTTACACCAAGGGAACAAAATTGTGCAGTCATTATGCCAAAACAAACAATATATCTATAGTTAATAGTTTGATCTGTCACACAATTTTTTCTATGGACATTAACTGCATTGTTGAATCTATTTAATTCTATTGACCTTGGTCTCTTGAAGGATATAAAGAGATCTCATGTAATAAAGATTCTATTTTTTTCTATAAATTTCACCTAAATCTTTCATGTTTACTTGAGAAGCTTACTTTGTCTTTCTTTAGAAAAATCATGGCTTCAAATTTGTACCCTTAATTGGAATAAGTTATGGATATTGGATGTGTGAGTTGTTTGTTGAATAACTAAATACATGAATGTTCTATAACTAAAGCATCATAGAAAGTACACCTAGGTTGCAATAGAATTTATGTGAGTTCATTTAGTGATAGAATTATTAATTACATGATTTTTCAAGGGTGTAACTGGCTTTTATTCTATAACTTTAGTATATTCATTTTGATTAACCGTTCTCTCCTTTTCTAAACAAAGAATATAAAGATATTGTCAATGATATGTTCACGAATTTTTTTTCATTCAATTAATTTCTTAAATACATTGCAGGTTTTGAGGGAGTTTCTAGTCTTGATGAAAGAAAAGAGAGGAAGCCCAATTTGGAGAACTCAGAAGATGATAGGAGGACAAAGATGGGATCCTTGAAGAAAAGGGCACTAAGTGCATCAACTAGGTTTCGACATTCATTGAGAAGAAAAAGCAGCAGTAAGAAGAATAGCGACAACCAGGTCCTTGGTTCAATTGAAGACGTGAGGGACATTGAAGAACTACAAGCAGTTGATGCCTTTCGTCAATCATTGATCATGGATGAGCTTTTACCTACAAAGCTCGACGATTATTATATGATGTTAAGGTAATGGGTAATCCTCATTTTCCAGCCATGGTTATTTTTTTGTCCCATGAAATGCTATCCCTCTCAAGCATGTGATTTTGTATGAGTAGAAAGCTATCCAATTCATGAATCATTTGTTTCTTTGGTGAAAAGGTAAGTATTTTTAATTCCTTCAATGCAAATGGAAAAGAAGGGAAGTGTTTAATTAGGATGATTCAAACGGCTATTAAGAAGGGGAATTTATGATTATGCACCTATTTTGTGAGTGATGAAGAAGAATATATGATGTGCATTATTGGTATGTATTATGTCATCTTCATGGTTGTGTAGTGCCATTTTATGAACACCACGATCATGGTGGATGGCCTGGGTGTTGCTCTTGTGGTTATTATAGAAACATGTCAAATTAATGTTTCCCTTGTTTATTTTTTTAAGTTAAAGCTTACTTGATTTTTTTTATATGTAATGATAAGCTTTTTTAATTTTTAAAGCAAACAAGATTTATTATCATTTAATCAAAAGAGTACAACATGAAACACTAGCAAAGCATTGTTAAATAAAATTGTAAAAAAATAAAATAACTAATAAAAGAATATATCAACAATGCCAAAAAACAAGAGAGAGAAACCCAGGAGCACCATTAAAGCTATCTAATTTCAAGCTTATGACAATATGCTTTTTTGGTATTTCTTTTTTTTCAAGTATATGGAATTTAAATTTTTTTGCCCACAAGCTTATCTTTGCCAGAAATGTTAACATCAGCAACAGTAGAAAAAGAGTTTCGATAACCCATATCTCCAACATCAAGACAAACATTATAATCAAGAAGCCCAAGAGGTACATGGTCATTTAATATGTGAGTAGGCATGCTAGCAACTCAAGATGGTTCTAATACCAAAGCAGAATTCAAAGCTAGTTTTTAAGTTTTGAATACAAATCATATCAAAAGTGGATAGAACTGCCAACATAGCATTATAATATATGCTTTTTATCAAATTAAGGATCTCGTAGCCATGATTATTCTATTTTTTAGCGTGTTATGAGACATTCTGAGAAGTTGAAAAATATTTTGGGAGAGAAATGCCTTTTCAAATTTAACCTTATAGTAATCATTAAATTTAGAGCCAATCCAATTTTCTTTTTCAAGCGGAGAAGAATTATCCAATTCAATAGAAATTGTAGCTTATAATAGCCTAGAAAGCCTAGCAGTAGCAACCTCCGCCTTTTGCCTAAAACTAAATGAAGAGAGTTAAAAAAACATGGATTGGTTAAAATAGAGAATTTGTAGTTGTGAAAAATAATCCAAATATGGGTGATATGATATTCCACAAAATAATCAAAATAAGTGTTCACTTTGAGCATACATAATTGGAACCCATCCAAATGCTTTTCCCTTCGAGAGAAAATTCCTCCATATTATAACATAGATCAGGAGTAAATATGCAAATAACCTCCACATTAGGACAACCCTAGGAAATTTTACCTACAAGGAAAAGGTGCAAATCAAACTTAAGCTTCTCATCAAACATGATGAGCTGATTTGCTTTAAAATGATGAAGGTTACTTGTGATGAGTATATTTAGGCCCTTGTTTGAAATGAATGTGGAAATGTGAGGAGTTGGGGGTATGCCGATGACTCTTTCTTTCTTAATAGCCTTAGCAAATGACTAAAGATAGCAAAACAAGGAATATCTCATGGAGTGGGAAGCCCTACGAGAGGGAATAACTTTGAGAGAGTTTACGATGCAATTGAGCCTGTGGAGCAGTCAATGGACTAAAAGTAATGGATTCCAAAGAACAATTTATGCTTCCAAAGAGAACGAGGATGAATGCTTGCAAACAAACTTAATTATGTGCAGGATAGGTGAGCTCTCAAGCATGAATGTCATGTTGCAAGCACGTAAGAAACACTAGCATGTAGCTCGAGTGCAAGACTGTAAAAGAGTGCACCAACATGCACAACAATGAGCTCTTGACAGTAACAAGTGCAAGAAGTATGAGAGAGCTCACACAAGCATGACAAAATGCAAAAGGAGCAGCGATAGAGTTTGGTTTAGAGTTGCGAGACTAATCTATATATTCGAGCATTCAGCATATTTGTTTGACTCGTCAATTTTATATAAAGCTTATTTTCATTGTGTTTTAATTATCATAGATGAATGAGTTCTTAAATTGTTTTCACCATCAACAAAACTCTAAAAGATATGGTGCTTCTTTTCAGGAGTTGTCTAAAAAATCATATAACTATGTAGTGAATTGTTTTTTTTAGGGCAACTCTACCAATTCTGCTCATTTCTACATTGAATCCTTCTTAATCATCATCAATCTACATTTTAACATAAAGTTTTGAATATGTTTATATTCTTTTTCTTGTCAGATGCATGTGAAAGATATTTAAATCACAAAATAAATATTTTACTTTGATGAATGTTGAATAGAAGGACTAGCTTGAAGCTAAAATTATATAAAAATCATTGTTTTCTATTCAATAGTACAAAGCAATAAATTTTATAAAACTTAGGGAAATATTTACATGTTGAAACAGAATTTTTTGTAGTAAAAATAGAAGATTAAGACTTTGTTTGGGGCAAATTTCTATCTTCATTGTGTTTCAAGCCTCCATCATAACTCTATTTGGCTACCTATTTTCTAGAAATTTTAGTGGTGAGAAGCTGCTTTTACTGCAAATTTTGTTAAAATGTGGTAGTTGTAAGAAAATTGCTGTCTGTTTTTTTTTTTGTAAAAAATATTCATAATTTCATGTTAGCTTTTTAAAAATTGATTTCTTCACAATAGCTTTTGAACCGCATTTACAAATAACTATAACTGTCTCAAATATCTTTTGAATAAAGCATGTAGATTCATGAAAGAACTTAAAGAAGATTCATGGAAAACAAAGATTAACTTCAAGATAATTGTTGATAATCTTCTAAAGGAAAATCTCATTTATAGAAGTTTTCCTCGAAGTTAAAAATAAAAGAATCTTTTCATTAAATTTCACAAAGTATATCTTATCATGCATAAAGATTGATGTCGATAAAAACTTTTGTTGTTGCATGTATTAATCTACTTAAATGTTTAAAATGATTTCCAGCTGACTTAGTTATCAATATTTGATGGCAATGTTGGAGATTATAGCAGCAAAGGCTTCCTTCAACAATGACACATGAGAAGGATTATTTATCATAAGGATATTGATCAAGCAAAATGTAATATGCATCATCATTGACACTTGGTACATGAATTAAGATTAGGCAGTATACCAATCTTTACCCTTTAGGCTGGACTAAAAAAGTTGGAAATGGAGATTGATCGCCAACTTACTAAGTTTGCAACCGGTAATAACTCCATAGATAAGATAATGTGAGGCGGCTCTAATTGAGATTTGCTAAATTTTCTTCGGAAAACCATACTTTCATGGTAGGTTAGCAACCTTATTAAGATTTGATCAAAAATAAAAGAAAGCTTTTTTTATTGACGAAATATTATGGTGTGTTGGTGATAGATTTAATAATATTAGGGTTAGCAGATAGTATTATTAATGTAGGCTATAAATTCTTTTCAATGTTAGTCGACCCTTTGAAGAAGGAACAGCCATGTAGAAGCTAATTGGGAGCATGGAATATGTCCTATCTCCGACTTGTTGCCAAATTTGTCAATGCGCCAAAACTCAATCAACAAGACTGACTCCACTGAACTTGAGACGATCAAGGAGTGATCAAGGCCGTGTACACAGGCAAAATAGTGTATATTTGTCTGTCTATGTTAAACAAAAGATAATAAAAAAATTTACTTACAAAATATGAGCGAGGCAAAAGTTGCTACTAGCAGAAAGCCACCTTTAAAAAATGAGCTTGAAGGGCCACCCTTTGTCCAATTCAGATAAAAAATAATGTCAAATCAGTGCTTGGTCGATATTTAGCAAACCTGGAAGAGAAGATATCATTGCAGAATTAAGTCAAACCAAGTAGTAAACCTAATTTACAGGTTTGAATGTTTGTAGGACGCTCCTAACTATGAAATGTTATCTAAGTTACATAAACTAGGAAGTCCTCAAAAGAAATTTATAAAATATCTTAAAATCTTCCTAAAAGATTGGTTGATAGACACTGCCAAGTGGAATAGTTGGAGGCTGAAAATCAAAGAAGGAAATCCTTCAACAAGGGGGGCCTGTAATTTGGCATCAAATTTTGAAACAATTAATCAATCTAATCATTCAATTCAAATTTGAAAATAAAAAGAAACATCTCAATAATTTGAGCACCAAGTCATGAAGCGATTATGATATTTGTATTCATTGAAGTTTTATAAGCTTGATTTTGAAAAAAATTGTTTAAATGGTCCATGGACTACATTTAGTGCCAGACTATCTAATGCGTCTCATTTAATCTCTTGACTCTTCAAATCTAATCCAAAATAGTCCCTTGACTCAAATATGATTCAAAATGATTCAATAGAATGACCATTTTGAATTATACTTGTGAAGTCAATGGACTAAATTGAACATAATAGATAGATGGGATTAAAATGATCTTATGGAAATAGTCTAGGAACCATTTTTGTCTTTTTCCATGTTTGGTTTCTCCATAAAAACTTTCAACAATAGTGATTCTCTTATAACACTATCGAGTTCGAAGAGTATTTCATTATCCATCAATAGGCATGCTCAAATCATCAATTTGGCATCATATAACAAAGAACAAGGCTCCAGGAACTTGATTATTAGATCAATTTATTTATTACAAAAATATAAAGATGAATTTTAAACTTATTTTCAATAGCTGTGTTTGAATATGTAATTCAGTGGATTTAGGATATTTCTGCGGAAATTATTATTAAAATTTAAGTTATCTAATTTATTATTTTAAATTGGTTTTTCTCTTTTTGTGGAGTGTGTTGGATTTGTTTAGATTTTTTTGCTTGTGTAATTGCATGTTTAATGACTATAATTTTAGTAATGAATTCAGTTGGAAATCTTCCTCTTCCTTCTCTTCTTGTGTCAAAATTCACTTAGTCGGTCTAAAAGCCACTTGTCTAAGGTCTCAGTACTGTTGCTAAACAACATTTTAGTATGGTGCATTAGAGCACAGTTGCTATTATGTGCTCTTTTTGCTTTTTGTCCACTGATTCTTAATTGTTTGCTTTCTACTACAGTCTAAAAATCAAAATAATTGGACAAGGCATAATAACTGTTCCAAAATAGCTAATCTATAGATCGTTACATCAAACATAAAACAGAGAATAACACCTGCACTGTCCAGAGAAGAATAAATAAATAAAGTGAAAGCATGCTAAAACAACATGTAGAGAGCTCAAGCCAGAGAGAAGTTATCAGATTTACCTTTAATTGATTGATAGATCAATAAAAATTCTTCATGGAAATTCTTAAACCTTTTTTAAACTTGCTAAATTTCATTTTAGGTATATGCATTAATGTTGAGAGTTTGGCTATAAATCAAATGTACAAATCATATTCACTATTAATTATATTAGAACCAGACACTCATTATAAAACTGTAAAGTAAATGCCTTTTGCATTCACTTCAATTCCTCCCAACCAAATACACCCTTAGTTTTCGGCTCGGTTCAAATTTTCACCCTTTTTTTCTATGTTGGCGATTAATTTTATATGCAATCTAAATATATGACATTTGAGTCTTAAGTTCTATAAAAACATTGTAATTTTTAATGTGAATCGATGAATTAATGAAATGATCTGCATTTACATCTTCCAATGGCAAACCTTAAAAAGGGTTAGATTTTTGGCAACGTTGGGAATGATTCCATGAACTATTAGTGTGAAGGTAATAGACCTCTTTAGTGCGATTCTCAAATCCCTCCTTTAAAAGTCAAATCCTTGTCTTCCCCTAGATATCCTGCTTTATTGGGCGTCAATGAAGCTGTGGAGTCTTCAATGCAGATTTGTAACTAAGACAAGTAGCATTTAAACGCCTAAATTTGTTGTTAGATGTTTTCCATGGTATTTTAGATATCTTAATCATTCTTTTGAACATTTCTCTGGTAATCTCTATAATCCTTGAGAATGACATAAACAGATAAAATATTCTTATATAATGAGAACTTGCTTAATTGTCAGCTAAAACTCCAGTTGTGCCTTTGCATTACTATTTAATGTTTCTTTTGTGAAGTAACAAAGTAATGCATGCTTTAATTTCGGTGTTTCTTGAGAGAACCATATGTTAAATTATTTCCTCTAGTTTACTCTTTGGAAACACCTCTGCCAGTTTATCTTGTTTGAATTATACAAAAACCTTCCTCTGAAATGATTTTGAAATTGTTTGCTTATTACTTCTTGATAATCATAGCAAAGTAATAATATTTTTTTTCGGAGATTATGGTTATGTAAATATTTCTGGCTTCCTTTTACAGATTTCTAAAGGCAAGGAAATTTGATATGGAGAAAGCAAAACACATGTGGGCTGACATGATTCAGTGGAGGAAGGAATTCCATGTTGATACTATTTTGGAGGTAATTTAAAAATTGCTTGGTTATTAAAGTGCTTCTCGGCTGCTGCTTTAATTGAACAAGGCTATCATTCAATGCTTGTTCAGTAGGTTTAATTTTAAGGAATATTGAGAATCTATCTCAAGTTTTATTAAGAGTAGTTGAACAATATTATTTTCCATTGATGGATGTGAGTTCAGGTTTCATCATCATAATACGCAGCTTCTTTTGCCAGAATCAATAAGTTTTGTGATATTGGCTAAGACAATATCTAATATTTCAGATTCTTCTAGAGAATTTTTAATTTTCTTTTTCTGCCTGTTCAATATATATATATATATATTTTTTTGCCTTGCTTTAGTAGAATTGCTATTTCATCAGGTTGTTGTGATCATTCAAATTTTTTTCAGCTTGCAAATAAAGTCTCTGCAATGTAGGGGTAGGATTGCATACAAGTCTCCTTCTAACATTGGATGAAGGTTACACCCATTAAACTTGTTATCACGTTATCTTGATGTTTTCTGGGAGGTACTGACGAGGGACGCTGTTGCGGTCAGGACTCCAGTGAATAGGAAACTCTGGTTTAATTGCTGACGGGTTCACATGCTCCAGCCACCTACGGCTGTGGCCTTTAGCCTCTTTTCTTTTCTAATAGCACTAGTATTAGGTTTTTTTGTTTGGGAGCAATTAAATATTTGTTTTGGACTAATATAAGACACTTTTGGGTTTTGTCGACTGTTGTACAGCCGTTGAGTGCACCGATTTCTTAGCAGCCGTCATCTTTTCACCCTCATTTCTCATCTTACAATTTACCTAGCCCCTCTTGTGATCTTCCCACACCATCTACCAGGCCAAGTACGGTGTCGGTACATTCATTTATAGAGGGATCATTCTTTTGTATCTTTCCTTTTTTGTTTCTTTGCTTTCCACTATCAGTCTTTATTGAGTTCATGGACTGTTTGCCATTACTTCATTAGAAAAACTTAACATTAAGCACTATTATGCTCCTTGATGAAAGTTTCAGTTTATTCATTTTTAAATTATTTTATTTTTTTATTAATTTATTTTTGGAACCTAACTTGTTAACATGAGCTGATCAAATCCTAACTGCAGTATATGGTTTATTAGGATTTTGAGTATACTGAGATAGATCAAGTCCTGAAGTACTATCCACAGGGCTATCATGGTGTCGATAAGCAGGGAAGGCCTGTTTACATTGAAATATTAGGAAAACTCGATCCCAACAAAGTTTTGCAAGTGACAACTATGGATCGATATGTAAAATATCATGTTCAGGAGTTTGAAAGATGTTTCCAGGTCAAATTTCCAGCATGCTCAATTGCTGCAAAAAGGCATATTGACTCAAGCACAGCCATAATTGATGTTCAAGACGTGGTATATTTAAAGCTCATTTACTGCAGTCTTAACAGATGATGAATACATTGTCCATAAAATACCACAACTCTATACGTGCCTGCATATTTCATGACTGCACATTTGGATTGTAGGGCTTAAAAAATTTTTCTAAGAATGCTCGGGAGTTAATTACACGGTTGCAGAAAATTGATAACGACAACTATCCAGAGGTAAGTGTCTTTTCCTCACATCTCAAAGCTTTATCTTTTCTACTTTAGTTATCGTGTTTAGTATTTGTCATTATTTTTTAAATTAAACTAAATTTATCTCAAACCTCAACAGACAATCATCTTGAGTAGGACTGTATGGATTGAAATTTTTTTGCAGACTTTACATCAAATGTTTATCATCAATGCTGGTCCAGGTTTTAAATTACTGTGGAACACAGTGAAGTCTTTCCTTGATCCGAAAACAACTTCAAAAATTCATGTGCGTGTACTTTGACATATACTTTTTATCTCAATTTATATTTCTTTGATATATAAAAGGAATGTGTGATAAAAACGACTCATAAATATATATATTTACAGGTTCTTGGAACCAAGTATCAGAATAGGCTTCTTGATGTAATTGATTCTAGGTAGTCAATTTTCATTATTATTTGGTAATATTGAAAATAGCTTTATTTAGTGTTTTTGGCATCTGCTTAACTTTTTGTTCCTTAATTTCACAGTGAATTACCTGACTTTCTTGGTGGTTCTTGTACCTGTGCTGATCAAGGTGGATGCATGAAATCTGATAAGGGTCCATGGAAAGACCCTTACATAATGAAGGTTTGTGTTTGCTTATAGAACTCTTTGCTTTTTATGTTATTATTATAGTCTGGAATCTTTCTGATAAGGGTCCATGGAAAGACCCTTACATGATGAAGGTTTGTGTTTGCTTATAGAACTCTTTACTTTTTATGTTATTATTATAGTCTGGAATCTAATTTCTTTTAGTTATGTAGATGGTCCTTAGTGGAGAAGTACATTGTGTTAGGCAAATTGTTACCGTCTCAAACAATGAAGGGAAGATTATTGCTTACTCAAATCCACATTGCTCTTTGGTAATGCATAATTGCTCTTATCTTGAATATTTAGATGAAATTTTCATCTTTGTAAAGTCTTAAAAAGTTCTTAAATTTGCTTGTATTTTTGGGCTAGATGAAGGGTGGTGATGTGTCTACAGCTGAGTCTGGGTCTGAAGTTGAAGACATGAATTCTCCAAAAGTTACTGGTGGTTACATTTCTAATTCTCAGTTGACGTCTGTCCATGAAGAGGCAAGGCTTCTTTTTATATATGGAAATTTTATGATTCCTGTGATTTAGTTTTCTTCTCCCCATTGTACCATAACATACTTACAGTTCTGAAATATTAGGAATGATTTAGCATGTAATTTTTGTGAAAACAATTTTACCGGTGGTTTTGATGACGGCAAATGGCTGGAATTTCTGTTGGATCTATTCTTATGCACTTTGAAAGTATAGGCTATGTTTAGCATATAATAATGAGTTAGACCTGACATACTACTGAAACTATTAAAGAAGTGATCTTGTTCGTATAGGAGTTGACATCCTAGCCCTATTTTACACTTGGAGTTTCACTGTTGTTGGGATTTTCTTTTTTTTATTTATTTTTTCAGATTCTAATACCTGCAGTTTCTTGAACTCCTTGCATTTATATAGGCTAAAACAGCTGGGAAAACAATGCATTCGGCGGTCTTTTCCGATTGTGATGGTTACGTACCTATGGTTGACAAGACCGTGGATGCACAATGGAAGAATAAAATTTCTGAAGCTTCCTCAACAGGTTTGGAAGCTTCAATTAATCTACATAGATGAACCTTTTATTCAACCAAGCTACTGCATCCTATCATTGTCCTAAAAAACTGCACATAAAAATAAATGGAATAACTTCTTATTTTCCTCTTTATATGAATACTCATTTTTTAATTCTTTCCTCAAGAGCCTTAGCAAGAAACATGTATGGAATTGAAGTTTGTTGTTCATTCTTATGTTCAGCAACATCAAACTACTACACATACTCCATAATCTCCACTGTATTCGCTGCAACGGTATTACTACTAGGTTTCTCTTTGTTTATGTTCAATCAATTGTAAGCAAACATATGCTAGATGTCATAATACACCTGTTAACTGATATAAACATTTCAAAATCCAAAATTATCTTTTGAGTCCATTTTAAAATTCCGTTGGAGTGAATGTGATATCGTGGAAGGTACTTAAGACCAATGTATTTTTTTTTTTTAATTTGCATACAAATTCTTTTTTTTTTTTTTTGTTTGCTTCATACGTTATTAACTAATGGTTTTTTAAACCTTGTGAAGCACAAAAAAAAATTACCTGCATTAAATCAACTGTTATGTCAATTTGCTTAATTTTTTTCTAGTTTTAAGGAGTTTATTACTCTGTTGTTGTGACTTGAATTAAATGTGAAGTTGCTGCGACCATCATCATCATCATCATCAACCTTATACTAATTATTCAGCGTCGGCAGTGAAACTGCTATATATAGCCCTGTGTTAAATAATGCAACTTTTACAATTGCTTTGTGGCTGAAAGAACACCTTACTAAATAACCCTGAAAGATTGTGAATCTAAATTTGATCTATCATTGATGTCTGTTTGGTTATTTATAGCTTTACAACATAACCAGAAATGGGTTGTATGGGAACAATTTTTACCTTGAATTTAATGTGTTTGTCATTACTTGTTTTTCTCAAAATGTTTTGGGAGACCAAGATTTTTTCTCAGTTTTCTCAATTATTTTCCCCAATATCGTTGTCTATTTTTTGGATTTAATTAACAACCATGCTGCTCATTGCATATTTTATTTTAGACATTGATGATTATTGGCTGAACATGTCATTTTACTCCAACAGCAGACGGCTTTCCTCCCTCAGATGATACCCCTAAGCTTCGTGGTATTAGAGCTCAAATCACGGCAATGCTTGAGGCTTTCAACTTGATGGCTTTTAGTATAATTCGTTCAGTCATCAACAATTTGACCACAAAATTTCCACATTATACTTTAGAGGCTAGCTACTTCAGTCTCCCTTCTACATTAGGTCCTGCTAAAAAGCGGGAAAATCGTAGTCCGCCAACTTCTGCATTCACAGAAACCGAGCTGTTTTCTTCTGTTGTGGGGAGACTTGGGAAACTTGAAGAAAACGTTGAGATACTTCAGGCAAAACCATCTGAGGTGCCTTATGAGAAAGAAGAATTGCTTACTGCTGCTGTCCGTCGTGTGGATGCATTAGAAGCTGAGCTTATTGCCACCAAGAAGGTATTTTATATGCTTCTATTTTCGATGGTTTTAGCTGTTCTTGTTAGGATTTCGATAGAGAGACAGCAAATCTTTCTACTTTGGCCTTTATCCTTCTTTTCTAAATAGTTATTTACTGGCGAAGTGATAACCAGGATTGTTATTCATATAGCTAGTTATTTATTAAAAACAGTACTTCTAGTTCTATTCTATATTAAACAATATATGTTATTAAAAATGCTAAGAGCGAGTGAAAAAACTTAATTATAATTAAACCCTAAACATTAAATATAGTTTGTTCAAATATTTAAGTTTTCTTAATGCCTTCGTCATCTTTGACAGTTAGGTTACTATTTACTCATTAAAACCACACCATATATACTCGTCGATTTTGCAAGGAATCGATATCAAGTTTGAGGTTTCTCAGGCAGCACGAAGCATATCTTCAATTACATATTTCAGTATTTTGAATCATCCATCTTGAGCTTGTATTCAAGTTGCAATAGCTTCATGTTCATCATCTCTATGGTTGCCACTTAAACACTCATGCAATTATGTCTAATTGTTAAACAGACTTTGCATGAAGCTCTTATAAGGCAGGAGGAACTGCTTGCATACATCGACCGGCAACGAGAGAGAAATTATAGGGTAAGAATCAACCCTTTTTATCTCCTTCTTAATGGTGGTTTCTTCTGTTTTACCCTTCTGAATTATTTTATATTTGCAACTCCAGAAGAAGTTCTGTTTCTGAAAAAAAAAACAAAAATTCGCATAGAGGAACAAAATATGGGTCTTGTAGAGGGGGACAAAAAATTGCAAAGGACACTCTTGCTCATACCATGATTAAGTAATGTATTACTTTTGTACATATGAATCTTGTAGAGGTTTACGGGTCTATATGCTTTTGCATAATGGCTCCGGAAATATGATCTTAATTTATCAGCTTTTGCTGTTTTGTATATGCCTGCAAATATCTCTTTTGATGTATTAAATAATGAAAGTAAATTATGCTTATTATTACTGTAATGTTGCCATATAAGATGTGAATTAGGCAGATAGAACCTCTGTAACGAATTGGCAATATTTTTATTGTTTTCCTGGCCTTATTTTCACTTGCAAATTGTATTATTAATCTGTCATTCGTTAACCGAGCAAAACTATATTTTTTGTTGATTCTGCAGTTGCATTAAAACGTCAAAATATGCACTTCAAGCCCATAAATGGCACATAAGTCAAAATTTGCAAAACAAAATTCCTTTTTTTTTCCAGTAAATTTCAAATTTTTCAAAAAGCACAACATGCTTTTTTTTTTTCTTTTTCTTTCTTCATAGTTTATTTGTAATTATTGAAATAAAATAGATTTATTCGTGTGATATGGTAACTTTAAACTTCGGTAACTCTAAAAAAGCTCCCCCAAACAACAAGTCAGTTTATTCTGATAATCTGCAGATTATCAAATTATCAGAATAATTTGTTTATCAGCAGATTATAAATAATCAACAGCTGCGTCATACAGACCCTAAATTTAACGGTATAATATTGAGTTTGAAAATTGTAACGGATGGATCAAGAAAATAAAAATTGAAATCATATCATCTGTAATTCAAAATTTATAAGAAAATAGATTTGTTTAAGAGCATTTATATTGAAATTTTATGGTGTTTATGCCTGTGAATTTTTAATTTTGGTGTTATAGTTCGCGAACAACGAGCTTTTTTGACAGCCCTATTATAAACATTAACTTACATCTGTAATTCAAAATTTATAAGAAAATAGATTTGCTTAAGAGCATTTTATATTGAAATTTTATGGTGTTTATGCCTTTGAATTTTTAATTTTGGTGTTATAAACATTAACTTAAAAAAAAGGGGAAATTACATGCAAAGCATCAAAACATTGCTATTTATAAATCTAGCGTCGATTTTTCAAATTTTCTCTAAAATATAAAAAATTCAGAAAAAAAAAATTCAACCAATATTTTTCAATTTTATCAAATTTTTAATGATTTTTTGACTATGGCACACATAAATGCATCGGACTAATGGTTTAAGAAAATTATATGTGTTAGTTTTATACATAGCAATGTAAAGAAAAAAAAAACTTACATTATAATACTTTGGTGTCCTCAATCTATGCACAAAACTATGTATTTCACTTCTGATGTGTACTTAAATTTTTGTGTTATAAATGTAAATATGATAATTTAAATATTACATATGTAAATTCAGAAGATTGTGGTATATATGTAAATGCCACTTAAAAAATCATTCTTACAACTATAAATTGTAAGGTAAGATAATAAAAGTTTAAAATATATTTATGATTATTGGGCCTCAAAATGTCAGGTGGTACGGATCACACCCAAAAAATAAAATGTTGGTCAAATGAGAGGAAAGAAAGTAAAAGAATGAGATGCAAATAATACTAAATTTCTGAGAGTATATCCAATAGTCCATTTTCATGAAAATAACTCTTCTATTTATAAATCATAAGTAGGATATAGTAAATTACATGATTTTCTCTCATTTAATAGAAATGTTACCATCATTTATAAATCATTTGATAGGCCAACAGTTCATCAGTTGATAGAATAATTTACAGTCTCCTTATACGAAGAAATTCATTGTAAAGGCTTGTTGTCCTTGGGAATGATCGTTCCATTAGGAAAATGGCATATTACCGTAATCTGACAGCAACCTTTCTTCGATCGATGAGCCTATATAAAAGTAATCCCCTCTGTACTGTTGTTGATCTTTCTAATCCCAGAAGTCAGTTGGGTTTGTGGCGTTTCTCGGTTTAGTTAGTAATCCCAGAAGTCAGTTGGGTTTGTGGCGTTTCTCAGTTTAGTACTTTCGTTCGGTGAGCCAAAGATTCTGTCGATCGGCATAATAATGAATCTTCACACATCTGCATCTTTCCTTGTGTCATATATTGGATCTACTCAAGGTTCGTGCAGTCATATTTCTGATGTAGATAATTAGTTTATCTATTCTCTCACTTCTTTGATACACACAACTATCATAACAAACAACTGTCATAAAAATATGAAAATTAAATAACATAATTCTTTACATAGAGAGTAATAAATATTATCAATAATTATACTCGCTGAATTTTTCTCTCGCTTTTCTCAATAAATAGAGCTCAATTAGCAATTTCTCGCTTTCTCCCCATTTCCCAAATTTTTTGCCCTTCCATTTATATATGTGAACGAAGATGTCAGTGAGCGAAGAAGCTCTAATGAGAGCTTTTGGACGCCCTGCTTTGAGGACTCGTCCTTGTAGGGACGAGATGAAAAAATACCTGATAGATCTCGCTTGATTCCAAAGAGGAGAGCAGGCGAAGAAGATCAGCTAACTGAGGGAAGGCCGGGAGACGGGAGGAAAACGGCTCAAACTAAAGGCTTTCCGAAGAGACCAGGCCCGAAGGGTCAAAATCAATTAAACAGCCGACAGCGAAGCTGCCACAGGTGGAAGGGATCGGAGAATCATCCGGGTTGCCACTTTTGGAAGTTAGGAATCAGAAAGGATGGCGTATTTCGGAGGCTCTTTTAGCTTCTGTACCACTCCGCCAATTCCTGGCTCAACTTACAGTCCCAAGAGCAGGGGCAAATGGTGACTACTGCGTGAGTTCCACCGCCGGAATTCGTTTTGATTCAGCCTCCGGACGAGGAGGTTGCTCAGGGTGAATTTTTGCTTCTGGTAGGGGATCTGATCCAGCTTTCGTCTGGGGAGGCAGTCCAAGGTGAAGCCTCGCCGAGGGAAGGCGTCCACGTCCCTCCTTTGGTCAAAGGCCTTGCCCAGGGTGCTGCTCCTCCACCCATGGCAGCATATTTTCGTACATCAAAGTCGGAAAACATATGCCTATGTCTTACGTGGAGGTTATTCTGAGGGGTTATATTAACCTCTTGTAATCTATCTGTAACCTATTTGTAACATATCTTTAACTTGCAAATAAGTTTCACGTTTCTATAATTCTGATAGGTACATATAAGTTACAGTGAGGTTACAATGTATCTCTATACCCTCTAAATAGCTTCCGACGTACATAAGTTTCACGTTTCTATAATTCTGATAGGTACATGTAAGTTACAGTGAGGTTACAGAAACTATAACGTGGATGTATCCTTATACCCTCTAAATAACTTCCGACGTACGCAACGCTACAAACGTTTTACGTACGCAAATATTTTCCCTAGGAAAAGCGCACCATTGATAACCAAGATTTCCTTATTAAATCCTTCTTTCTTATAACACCAACTCTTAGGTTGCAGAGAGGCCGTGGAGGACTGCGTGTACATATAAATAATTATGATTTCATAAAATAAAATTAATGAAACTATAAGCATTAGAAGATAAAACGATTATAGAAGACGCAGGCAATCAGTAACGATGTAATCTTAAATATATTAATTTTATTAATTTGATTAGTACTCTTATATTTGTTAAATTATAGACAAATATAGAACCTACAATTGAAGCTCATTTTATAACTAATGAGTTCGATATATGTTTCGTCCGTGCTCATCAATGAGCTACTGAGTCCCCTGTTGTCCGATCATGCGTTCATTTTTTTGCTTCAAATTTACAATTTTCTTATTTTAATCATTTTCAGATTTACCACTTTCATTTAAGCTCAGTTTGTTAAGGGTCCTATCAGTCCAAAACCAGAGGAATACCTCTCCCGATTGAGAGGTATATTTAAGCAAGAACGGGTATGTTCATCATGCCAAAAAATGGTGTATGGGTGGCTTGTGCCATAATCTAAAGTAGTGTATCTCATCCTGCACTTCCATTTCCCCAGACCAAATGTCATCAAGCTCCATTTGAAGTGCGCCAAATAACTACAAGTCAGGCTTCTTAATTTAAATATATCCACAATGACACCTTGTACGGCAAAATTGTTCTAAAAACAACCCACATTTTAGGCTCAAACGTCAACCCATCTTGTCATTTCATTTTCATGCACATGTTATAGGAGAGTTGTTTCCTGCATCATCCACAACACATAAATGATAATGAACAAAATAATTTTCTGGATTCTTCCACACAGCAAACAAAATTCTCTTCAATCTATCAAACTCAACTGAAACTTTATATGGACCATGAACATCCTCCTCCGATCTCTCCTCATCAATGGCATTTTGTAACCGCCTTAACCATCACATCCCCTTCTTTATAAACGACAGATTTGATTGAGTTGTGCGAGCGGGAAGGCAAAACTCTCGAGTGGTTTGAGGGAGGAGCGGGTGAGAGAAATTGCTGCTTGTACGAGAGCATGGAGGAGCAGGTCTCGATTGCGGAAGAAGCAGCAGATGGGGGCTCGGGGGCTTCAGCCCATAAGAGTTGAAGCATAGAACGGTGGTCCGAGGAGGAGGAAGAGCCGGCAGTGGAGAAATATGGGAGTTTACGAGGTCCCTGTGCACTGCCATTCCCTCGAGGCCTCATCAAATTGCGACTGTATCGTGAGGTTTCGGGAAGAAGTACGAATGGGGAGATGGTTTCGTCTCCAATTATTGCATATGCGGTGTCCGATTTTAACCGTAGATCACGGTAGATCTACGGTTAGTATGTATTTCAGTGGGTCTCATTTAATTTTTTTTTAAAAAAATTAAAATACATCATGACCGTAGCTCACCGTTATCTACGGTCAGGATCGGACAACACATGCATCTTTGCATGCGATGTTCGTATACAGTTATTTTTTGTTTGATAGGGTCTTTATTTGATTTGGAGTGTTTTTTTTTTTTTCTAGCCATTGGATTACATAGAAGCACCCAAAACAATGTTATGTACATAATTAAGCACCCTCTTTCTTTCATTTTCAAATTCTCACTCGAATATCAAACATCATGATAAAATCCCAACTCATATTTTCATTTTTATCATATTCACAATGATTTAATCTTGGCACGCGTAAAATCACCTAAGTGCTTGATTTGTAAATAAAAAATATTTATTGTGCTCGGCATGTAATTATCTGGGGCCATTGATATACATACCACCCAATTCTTATGTATTTATACTTGTTATACCAAAAATTTAACTTTTATATTCATATTGCACAAATACTTTATATCATATAAAAATGCCACCATTTTAATTTTTAAAAATTAAAAATATATATTTTCATACATAGTGAAGGTCGCATGTATGGAAGATTAAAGTTTTGGTGTTGGATATGTAAGTGGATAGAACTTGAGAAGTCATATCAACAGTTTTGGCATTGGTCGAGTCATCTTGATCTCAATTTATGTTATGTTATCTTCGATCTCTGTCCCTTTCTTCTTAAATTGCTATTTTTGATTGTTGCCTGCCGCCTCTTAGATAATTTTGATGCTTTGAATTCGATGAGGTGGTCCATTTTGCAATTAGATTATGTTTTGATGACTTTGAGCATGATCAAGGCCTTTAAATCTCAATTTATATGATGTGGTTATCAATGTTTATTTTAGGAAGCATGTTAGATATCGTCGAGCCGAGGAGCTTGTAGTGAGGTCAACAATAATGTAAAAATACGTATTTTATTCAAAATACTTTGGAGTTGTTAGTTTAATCTAAGAGGAAGCATGTTAGATATCGTCGAGCCGAGGAGCTTATAGTGAGGTCAACAATAATGTAAAAATACGAATTTTATTCAAAATACTTTGGAGTTGCTAGTTTAATCTAAAATAAATATAAGACTTCATATTTTCTTATTTAGGGTTTAGGGTCGGATTTTCATATTAAAATAGGGTTTAGGCAACTTGTTGCTTATTTTCAAGTGGCTAGCTATGGCTAGTGGTAAAAAGTGCCTTTGGCGGCCGACGGCATTGGTAGGCAAGCGCCAGGTGGTGGGGAGTTGGGTCGAAGGTAGTAGAGGGTGGACAATAGAGGTCGTACGCAAGCAGGTTACAGATAGTAAACAGCCAACAACGAGCGGCAGCGCACAAACTGATTACTAGGATGGTGGTGATGGGTGACAAAAACTGGTGACTGTGACAGGCAATTGACTAGCAGTGGGTGATTGCGAGAATTAGTAGGCAGTAACAACCGGCAAAACTTTACATAAAACTATGCATTTGGAATTTGCCTCAATTTAGCGAATTTCAAATAAATTGAAAACTAAGGGGTTGTTTGATTTGCTAGAAATGAAATGGAATGTAAAAGATTTGCAGTGTTCTATCATTACAATGTATTGGAAATACTTTCGAGTTGTTATGTTCACTATAAAACAATCGTAGGCTTTTATAATTTTCTATTTGATTTACATATCTCATATCTAAACTTTCATATCATAACACTCCAAGTCCTATTATCACTTTTTAAAAGTGAAATACACATTTTTATACATAGACTTAAAGCACTAAAATGCTATGTAATTTTAAAAGTGGAGATGGGATATGCAAATATATAAGAATCGTGTGTTGTAAGTTCTTTTTTTACAGGCCGGGCGGCCGATAATTCTTTAAAAAATAAGAAATCCATCTTTGATTAGAAGTAATGACGACGCAAAAATAAACAAGTTTCAAGTTAAAACCTATAGACATTCCATAATTTTCACCATACACCATGTTAAAAGCATGCAAAAAAACTACAAAATATATTTATATACATATAAATAAATAAATAAAGAGCTGAACTGCACGTTTCATATCAATTCAAGCTTCTTCAATCTAGAATATAACTCAGCTATCCGCAAGATCTATGATGATGTATCGTTATTCGTCTGCATCCCACTTTCAGTGTAAAATCTAACTATCTTCTGATCCAACTTATAGTAGTGGGCCATTTTATCAAGAGGTTTCACGTCAAGGTCAATGAAATAGGCCTGCAAAAGAATCCTTGTTGTGTTAGATTTCAAGTTTTATGTCAAAAAATAGGTTCATGAATTGAAAAATCCAACAACAACAACAAGAAGCATTTTATCCCACTGTGGGATCGGCTACATTAATCCTTTTTCTCCATTATGCCCTATTGAGTGTCATATTTTTATTTAATTCTAATAAATTATGCCCAAGTTTTTTTTAGGTCCACATCTACCTTTCTTAGCATAAGTCGAATCGAAAATATCTACTCTCCTAATAGGGTCATCAGCTGGTCGGCATTTAATGTAACCAAACCATCTACGGTGTCTCTCTCAAATCTTGTCCGTCATTGGAGCTACTCCAACCCTCTCACAAATATATTCATTTTGCAGACTCTTCGTGTAAAACATCTCATCCACCTAAGCATTCACATCTCAACACTTAATTTAATGCTTCTTTTTTACAAGCTAACTTCCTGCACCATAAAGCATTGGAAGTCTCACCACCATCTTATACAATTTTTCTTTAAGTTTAAGCAGAACTTTTCTATCGTCATCTCATCCACCTAAGCATTCACATCTCAACACTTGATTTAATGCTTCTTTTTTACAGGCTAACTTCCTGCACCATAAAGCATTGGAAGTCTCGCCACCATCTTATAAAATTTCCCTTTAAGTTTAAGTAGAACTTTTCTATCGTACAAAAGGCCCGATCCATTCCTCCACTTCAACCATCCAACTTGAATTCAACTAATAACATCCCCATCTATATTAGCATCACATTGAACAATAGACTCAAGATATCTAAAACGTTCACACCTTTTAATGACTTGATCACCCATTGTTACAACCCCGCCACAAAATCTACCTATTACTAAAATTACATTTCATGTATCCAGTTTTAGATCTACTCAAACAAAAACATTTAGACTCTAAAGTTGATCTCCATAATTCAAATTTTTTTCTTAAACTCTCACTCATCTTATCCACAAGAAGGATATCATTAGCCAAAAGCAGACACCAAAGTATATCATCCTATAAATGTCCAGTAAGAGTAAGAGCATCTATAGCTAAAGCAAAAAGATAAGGACTTAGTCGATCCCTTCAAGAATTGAAAGATCTGTTAGCCCAATATATAGTTCCATATCTAGGCATTGATATGAGCACATATCATACTGATTCATCGTTAAGACTTTACTTCAAAACTTTAGCTGTAACTAAGAGTACATAGAGGTCATCAAGGATTTTTTATTTATTTATTTTGATTTAAATTAAAATAAATTTGATTGAGATAGTTATTTTAAAAACACTAAAAACTTCTTTTAAATGTTTTGATTGTTTTTTAAAAACAAGTTGATTTATTTTTAAAAATGAAAAATAAAACAAATACAAATTATATCAGCCAACAAATTCTTTTTAATATAGGATGCTTTTTCCAAAAAATGGAGGAGAAACATACCTTGTAATCGAAGGTCTGCTTGGATGACTCGAGACGAATAAAGTCATACGAGGAGCCGCTTCCTTCATGAGGTCGAAAGCTAATCATTAAACTACAGTCCTTTGCAGTGGCAGCTATTAGAAAATTCCTTACAATTTTCACGCTTTCTTCTAAAGATAGAGCATGCAAACAAGAATACTTCTGCAGCAATTCAGAGTCCCCAAGATTTTTGCATACCATGCAAGGCTCGGAAATAATATTGTAATATACATGAATGGTTCCTTCTATGTCAAATAAATCAAGCTTTTGAACAGCTAGAAGTCGGTCCAGTACTCCTGATCTGAAAATTGCCTCAGAGACAAGTTCAATGAAGCTAGCTAATCTTAGGCCATATTCTCCATTTATGAGTATCTTAAGTTGGTCTTCAATGCTAGAGCCAATCTCACCAATTTTTCTATTGCTATCTGCTCCCTCCATGTCTCCAAATATGAGAGTGCCATTCAGAAAAATTCGGAAGTTATTTGAAGGAGTTGTGAAGAGTGCAGCAAAGGCTTTGTTTATCTGCTCTATAGATCCCGAGAACAGATCCAGTGGATTGTAATCACTCGGCTGTGATATCTGAAATGCAAAAAAAAAAAATGTTTCAATTTATAACCCTTAGTCGTAATGCAAACAGGATACTATCTTATCTGGAAAATTAGAATAATTCAGAGAAATTTCATGGTTCTTGTTAAACAACAACAACAACAACAACAATAACAAAGCCTTAATCCCACTACGTGGGGTCGGCTACCTGAATCTTTTTTCTCCATTGCATCCTATTTAGTGTAATATTTTCATTTAGTTCTAATAAATTAAGATCATTTTTTATACAATAAGCCCAAGTCTTCCCAGGTCTACCTCTGTCATTCTTAACATAAGTCGAATCTAAAACATCTACTCTC